TGGCCAGCGCAGGTGTGGAAGGCAACAGTGACAGCTCCAGTGATTGGTTCCCTGCAGCCCCCGTGGGAGACCTGAATTAGGTTGCCAGCTCCCAGCTTCCCACTCAGAGCCATGCCCGGGGCTGCTGTGGGTACTGGGGGGCAGGGGAGGGCAATGACCCAGGAGATGACCCTGATTCTCAAATATGCACAATTTTTAAAACTCTAATTTTTTTCTCTATGAAAGGCACAGCTAAAATATTGAAAGGACATGCTATACACTGCGGGGAAAAGGATTTGCAAGGTACATATTTCACAGAGGACTTACCCAGAATATAGCTGGCATTTCCAAAAGTTTGTGAGAAATGGAATTAAAGGGTAATGTACATTTTCTGTTAACTTTTTGAAGACTCCCCCCACCCATATAAGAAACTGCCAAAACTCAACAACAAGACAAAGACTTGGGCTGAGACGAAGACATCTAGATGACAAGGAAAACCTGAAAAGATACTCAGCCTCAGGGGTGATGGGGAAAAACACATTGAAGCCACAATGGCTTTTTTGTTCAAATGTTTGTCTATTCATGTATATTTCTCTGAATGAGAGCAACAGAGAGAAAGGAGGGAAGAGAGAGAGAGAGAGAGAGAGAGATCTTCCATCCACTGGTTCACTCCTGCAATAGCCAGAGAGGGGTCAGATCAAAGCCAGGAGCCAGGTTTCCTGCGTGGGAGCCAGGGACCCAGGTCCATGGGCCATCATCTGCTGTCTCCTTCCTGGGGTGCTCATTAGCCAGAAGCTGGGTTGGAAGTGGAGGCGGGACTCAATCCCGGGCACCCTTACATAGCATGCCAGTACCCCACGCAGCAGTTTAACCAGCAGCGCCACGGCACCTTGCTCCCACACAGGTTTTCACGGCTGAAATTTTTTTAAAAAAGATTTATTTGTTTATTTGAAAGTCAGAGTTACACAGAGAGAGGAAAAACAGAGAGAGAAAGGTCTTCACTCCCCAGTTGGCCACAGTGGCCAAAGCTGTGCTGATCCGAAGCCAGGAGCCAGGAGCTTCTTCCAGGTCTCCCATGAGGGTGCAGGGGCCCAAGGACTTGGGCCATCTTCTACTGCTTTCCCAGGCCATAGCAGAGAGCCGGATAGGAAGAGGAGCAGCCGGGTCTCGAACCGGCACCCATATAGGATGCCAGCACTTCAGGCTGGGGCACTAACCTGCTGCGCTACAGCACCGGCCCCTCACAGCTGAAATTTTAAAATTCAACTGTGCCGGTGAGGATGTGGAACAACTGGAGCACTCATACCTATGAGGGTTATTTACAAAAGTTCATGGAAAAAAATGGAATTAAAAGATAAACTGATTTTGGTCTAAAAATGTTTTTTGCATGCACAAGTAGTTTTTCCAGCATAGGCGTTTCCACGAACTTTTCAGAGACCGCTTGTGTTGCTTGTAGGGTTTGTACATTGTTGCATAGTTAGTGTCTCATAAACTCAACAGACACTTGCCACCATAGGACCCAGAAATGCCCATCCCGGGCAGTCACCAAGAGGCAAAGACCTGCATTCACTTGAAAACCTGTGTGGAGATTCAGAGCGCATTGTTTATCCTTGCCCCAAGCACCAGCAGAATGGATAAGCGATGCTGCATCTGGAACACCACTCAGCAGCCACAGGGGCGCGTGACTGACACGTGGAACGACACAGAGGCAAGCCAAGGGCAGTATGTCGGGCAAAAGAAATGCGACCTAAGAGCAAAGTTCGCAAGAAAATAAAATTACAAGAGAAGTTTATTTTGGCGCATTTTCCATGAACTATCTGAAGCCCGTCCACATGCACGGATTTTGAAATCTTTTGCACCAAAATAAGCTTATCTTGTAATGCTATTTCCACAACCTTCTTGCAGTCCTTCTCATTCTTATGATTCCATTTGCGTGACGTAAAAAAGTAGCAAAACTCTAGGGGTTGGGTTGCAGGAGGAGGAGCTGTGGATGGAGGGCAGGACCAGGGGAGTTCTGGGTGAAGTAGCCACGGTCCCAAGTGTGGAGTCTCCAGCTCACAGAACTGTCCACGCCCACCCACAGGGAAGGGAATTTTACCGCATGTGCAGGAAACTTGAAGAACAAGTTCCAAGAAATACCCACGAAATAAAAATAAGTGCAGGGGCCAGCGCTGTGGCATAGCAGGTAAAGCCGCCGCCTGCAGTGCCAGCATCCTATACGGGTGCTGGCTCGGGTCCCGGCAGCTCCACGTCCAGTCCAGGTCTCTTCTATGGCCTGGGAAAGCAGCAGAGGATGGCCCAAACACTTGGGCCCCTACACCCACGTGGGAGACCCAGAGGAAACTCCTGTCTCCTAGCTTCGAATCAGCACAGCTCCACCCATGTGGGGAGTGAACCAGAAGATGGAAGACCTTTCTCTCTGTCTCTCCCTCTTACCGTCTATAGCTCTACTTCTAAATAACTAAATAAAATCTTTAAAAAAAAAAGTTCAGAGAAAATGGAGCTTAAAAATAAAGTTTCTTTGGGTATGAGAAGCTTGAAGTCCATGCATACTGCATGTGATGGGTCTCCAAAAAGAGTTTATAGAAAAGCTATGCATAGCTTCTAGGCAATTGTGCCAAAATAAATTTACCTTTTGCTCCATTTTACCACGGACTTCCTGATGCATGCTTGGACGTGTGCTGAAGCTCTCTAAACAGGTCCAGCTCATTATCCATCCATTCCAATCCTACCCCAATAAGCTGGTCACGTTTTCTCAAGGCAAGCTACAGCTGAGAAGCCGAGACGTGGGACTGGATGTGCAATGTGAAGGGAACAGTGCTCGTCCCCATGCCCAGGACCTGTGAATAGGAAGCCAGGGGCTGCAGAAGAAATTCAGGGTTGCTAATGAGCTTGAAACAGAGGATTATCCCGGGTTGTGGAGCTGGACCCAGTGTCATCCCAAGCTGCCCTCAGAGGAAGAGGGAGGCTACTGAGGCAGTCAGGGGGGCGTGACGCCCGCTGCTGCTCTCTGTGAGGGTGGGGGATCGGAAGGTCCCAGCCAGGAACCTGGGCAGCCTCTAGAAGCTAGAAAAGGCCAGGGATCCTCCCTGTGAGGGTCTCCAAGGAAGAAGGCTACAGCCCCTCCAGCACTTGGATATTAGCCCCTTGGGGCCCATTTCAGATTTCTGAGCTCCAGAACTATAGGATCCATGACGGCTTAGGAGGCAAGTTTTGTTAATTTGTTGCCACGGCTAAAGAAAGCTACTGGGGCAGGCGCTGTGGCATAGAGGGTGAGACCGCTGCCTACAGTGCCAGCATCCCATATGGGGGCCAGCTTGGGTCCTGGCTGCTCCACTTTCAAGCCAGCTCCATGCTGGTACACCTGGGAGGGCAGTGGGGAATGGCTTGGGTGCTTGGGTCCCTGCACCCATGCGGGAGACCTGGAAGAGGCTCCTGGCTCCTGGCTTCAGAGCAGCTCAGTTCTGGCCATTGTGACTATTTTGGGGGTGGGGGATGTCTGTGTGTGTGTGTGTTTGAGGCTCTGTCTTTCAAATAGAATAAACAAATCTTAGAGTGAGAGAGAGAGAGAGAGAAGAGAGGGAGGGAGGGAAGGAGGAAGGGAGGGAGGGAGAAAGGGAGGGAGGGAGGGAGGGAGGGAGGGAAGGAAAGCTACCTCAGACAGCATGGGTGTTAACTCCTGTCTTCCCTGGGGTCGGGTGTCCACTATGCCACAATTTGCCCTGGCCCAGCCCACAAGCTCAAAAGTCTGTTGGCGTTAAGGATGACATTTCAGGCTCCTGTAACTGTGAGCAGTCCAGCCAGGCAAGAGGTGTGGTGGCACAGAGGTTAAGCCACTGCTTGTGAGGCTGGCATCCCATAATGGAGCACTGGATTGAGTCCCAGCTGCTTGCCTTCTGATCCAGCTTCCTGCTAATGCACCTGGGAAAGAAGTGGAAGACAGCCCAAGTGTGTGGGCCCCTGCCACCCACGTGGGAGACCAGGGTGGAGCTCCTAGCTCCTGGCTACAACCTGACCCAGATCTGGCTGTTGCAGCCATCTGTGGAGGTAACCAATGGATGGAAGATCCCTCTCTCTCTCCTGCTCTGTCTTCCACATAAATAAATAAATAAGTAATTTTAAGGGAACAATCTAGACTTCAGGAGTGGTAGACCCAGCAGTCTCGTCACCACCTCTTGCTCTCCCTCCCATCAGCCTCCTCTCTCTCTGTTAGCTCCTGGACTGGTTTTTCAGGCCAGGCCCACAGCAGGGGCCTGGAGGAACGCTGCTGGAGCCAACCTTGCATTTCCTTCTTAGCTGTAATCCCAGAAGAAAATGGAGCAGTGTTCGCAACAAAAGCCCCTGGGGAGGGATTCTTAATGGCTCAGACTCGGGGGCATGCCCAGGGTTCAGCAGTCTCCACGGCCAAGGACACGGTGTGCACTGCCTGGACAGCCAAGGGCACAGGTCCACCCGCATTTCAAGTCTTAGAAGCAAATAACTCAAGAGCCACAAGCGAAAGGAAGGAGGAGAGGCGTAGGCATGAAGTCATCGACAAACATTGCTCAGATGAATCAGGAAGTGAAGGTGTACATCGTGCTATGTGGAGCTAGGGACAGGGACTAAAAATGGAAATGTTTAAAAGCGTTGGCTCTGGAGAAAGAGGCCAGGACTCGGGGGCGGGGAGCTGTTTCCTTTCCATCATAAACCCTTCTCTCTGATTTGATTTGTTCGTATTTGTTTCCATGACACTGATCCTAAGACAGCCTGTGAAAGATTTTTCAGCGTTTGGGTGGATGTCCTGAGCTGCCACTGGCAAGTGCTGATCTGATCAATACCCAGTAGTGCGATTCCATTGATGACAAAACTTTAGGAGCATTGGGAAAAACGACCTTGGGATCATCTTCATTCATGCTTGAGTTATGCTTCCTATAAGGGAAACTGTCTGGCTTCTCACCTGCTGGGAAGCACCTCTAGCAGTTGAATTGGCTAGGTCAGAGCTTCCAACAGTAGACAGATACCCCAAACCCATTGAAACGCACCTGGTGGGCAGTATCCTGGCGTAGCACGTTAAGCCGCCATTTGTGACAACAGCATCCCATATCAGAGTCCCAGCCCTTTTGCTTCTTATTCAGCTCCCTGCCAATGCACCTGGGAGGGCAGCAGAAGATGGTCCAGGTGCTGGATCCCTTGCCACGCACGTGGAAGACCAGATGGAGTTCTGTCTTCTGGTTTCAGCCTGGCTCAGATCTGACTGTTGCAGCCATGTAGGCAGTGAGCCAGTGGATGCGCGAGTTCTCTCTCCCTTTCTCGCCTTCTTTCTCTCTCTGCCACTCTGCCTTTCAAATAAATAAATAAATAAACCTTTTTTTTTTAAAGAAACAATCTCCCCTGGTCCAATCCAAAGGCAATTCCAAATGAATGACCATCATCACCCCCTCTCCAGGAGACGGGGCTCAAAGGCCTGCACATTTAGCTGTTTCCCGTCACATGGGTTCTTTTGTCTCCAGTGCTGATCCACAATACTGGACACACCCTGCTCCATCCCTGCCAGCCAGCTCTGGCATTGAGGGTGACTCGGAGCCAGCCGAGGGGGCACCTGGCCCAGAGCCCCTCATCTTTGCTTCTCTGGGGCCTGGGCTGGTGCTCCGGCCCTTGGCCTCTGCTCCCCAAGAAGTCTTGGCTCAACTTCCCCATACCAAGTTTCCTTTTGTTTCCCAAGTCCCAGCCACCCAGAGGTCAGCTCTAAGTGCTGCTCCCAGCTCTCTGCCCTTTGCACTCCCTTCCTCGTCAGTCCCAGACTCCAGAGGGTCCCGAGCATCGGCAGTGACAGGGAACCCAGCCTTCCCCATGCACCTCCAGGTACTCACCCTCCCTGCCAGGATTTCCTCTGTTCCTCCAACGGGTGGCCCAAGGTCCCAGAGGAGGGAGAGGTCCCTGGAGGAAGCCAGCTGCACCCTGCAGTGCTGACTCCCCTGCGCTACAGCACTGACACTGTTGTGACCCAGCCGTGACTCAGGCCGGGTGCTCCTCCAGGCCAGCTCCCCACACAGGAATCCCGGACCAGACATGCCAACCAGGGTGCTCCACCCCTCTCCAGGGACCATCACATTGAGTGCCCACTCCTGAGCTCACTCTGTGGCCCGGCCCCACCTCTTTTTTTTTTTTTTTTCCCCCACCTCTTAGGACCTCTCTCCGTCCAGCTCCACCAGTGCCGTCTCCACATGACCATCACTGCACCTTTAGGAGCCCCGGCAGAGCAAGCAACTGTCCGTGTCACCAGCGCTTCCCAGAATTCCCAGCATCCCTCCCACTGGGATCCCACAGGACACCGCCTTTGCCCTCGCTGGCTGCCTCATACACTTTGTTCTTCCGCGGCATCCCTTCTGCTCGCAGAAGGTCAGCCAAGCCACTTACAGCCCCTCCTCCACGGTCACCTCCTCCCTCTCCACCCAGGATGTCCTTTGTGCCAGGGGCCTCCTCCTCCTCCCCCAACCCCGCCAGCCCCAGCTTGAAGTCTTTGGACCTCCCCAGCTGCACACCTGCACCCCGCTTTGTCTCAGCTCCGTCCATCTCCATGGGAGACCACAATCAAAAAGGAAAGTTAACATCTGCGGGATTTGGGGTCATGACGGAAAACGGCACGCACCCTGCGTGGTTGCAATGGTGAGACCTGAGCGAAAATAGCTCTGTGGGAGTGCGGACAAGGGAAGAGACCCAAGGGGGCATGCCGACCCCAGAGACGGGCCGCGATTCTGGGATGCGTCCCCACCCACGGGGCGAAAGGGACCAAGAGGAAACAGTGTCAGCAGAGCTGGTAAGAGCTGGGGACGTGGGGAAGGGGCTGCCACGGGAGGCTGGGCTCCTGGCGGTCCCAAGCCTTGAGTGAAAGGAGTCCCTGATCTCTCCATCTTCCTGCACTCTTGCCTTCCAGCCAGAGCCTCCCATTGGCCAATTTCAACCGCTGACCAGCCAATAAGAACATCCCAGAAGCAGCCTGGAGCAGCCAGGTTCCCAGGGCCAAAGAGCAGGCTGTGGGGGTGGGGACGCAGCCCCGGGGAGTGGACCCCAGGAGCAGGAGAACCCAGAGCCCCTGGGAACAGCTCCGGGGCAAATGGGGAAACCGACGAGAGAAATGATTGCTGATTTGTCCAAGTCACACAGAGACGCCAGAGCCAGGCTGAACCCAGACCCTGGGTCACCATGTCCCCGGTGGCCTGTCACATGACAAAGCCCATGACTCCAACCCCTTTTATGTACTACTCTCTTGGAGTGTTTATGCACTACAAATAATTTTTAACCCATTTGAATCTGGTACATTGCTTTGATTCCCTTCCCCGGCTGGCTGGCGGGAGGCGTGAGCTGGATTTGAACTCCCTTAACCTCTCCCCACCACGTCCAGGATGAGGTTTTCCAGCCAGTGCTTCGGCTGCAGCCTGGGCCGAATGGAGCCGGCTGGAACACAACAATAATAGCCCCATCCAGTTATGGCTGTGCAGGCAGCAGCTAGATTAACATTCAGGGAGGTTGGGAGGGGGAACCTAATTGAATTCAAAACATAATAAATTGAGGCCAACTCATTCGATTTATGGCCGTGTCTTCTGGCATCTTTTAATTTTGCGTCACATTCATTTGGAGGCAATCAAATTAGGGTGCTCATTAGCGGTTGAGGTAGGGGAGGCTGGAGCCACACTCCCGGTGGTAATGAGATCTCAGCAGCAGCGTAATTCAGGGGTCAGTTGGGTGGCGGGGAAGCTGCAAGAGCACAGTGGTCACTGCCTCCTCAGTGGGAGGAGCAGGAGGTCGGCTCTGGGGAGGAGGCGAGCGTGGACCGCAGACCGGCCGCGCACTTACGAGACGGCTTTGGTCTTCACCTGCCTCCCTGGGGTGACAGCAGCAGCTCCTACCTCTAAAGGCTGCATAGACAGAAAATGAAATCAACAGGTCCTAACCTCCTCCTGCCCCAGTTTCTGGGTTGCACCTCTGCTCTGCCCTATGTCCAGAGCTCCTCGGCACCGTGTGCGTACCCACACACCCCAGCTTGACCACCTTGCACACGAGGCCTGGCTCATCCCTGCAGCCTGCCCAGGGGTAGCCTGCCAGCTAGGACCTTTCCAGAACTGGCCCAGAAGACTTGTCTAGAATCTGAAGAGGCTCCCCGTGTACATGCCCGGTACTGGGAGCACCCGGGAAACGCAGGCTCCCTCGCCCACCCCCAGCACCAGTGCAGGGTGAGGAAGGCAGGCAGTTCTCTTGTCTCTGTCTGATGCATACAAGAATCAGCCTTCAGCTCTCTGCTGTGGCCCGGGAGTGCAGTGGAGGATGGCCCAAGTACTTGGGCCCTGCACCCACAAGGGAGACCAGGAGAAGCACCTGGCTCTTGGCTTCGGATCAGTGCGGTGCGCCGGCTGCAGCACACCAGCCACGGCGGCCATTGGAGGGTGAACCAATGGCAAAGAAAGACCTTTCTCTCTATCTCTCTCTCTCACTGTCCACTCTGCCTGTCAAAAAAATAAAATAAAATCAGCCTTCACAGAGGCCAACAGAACACAGATTGTTATCGCAGTCTCCTCCCTGGCCCTCCGGGAGGTATCAACACGTTGCACTCAGTAGAACAGGAAACCAAGGCCCAGAGGAAAGAGCTGCCTGCCGTCGGCCACACAGCAGGCAGGAGATGGAGCCGGCAGTCAAGCCCGTGCCTGACCCCGGAGCCTGCACTCAAACCAGCCAGCACAGAGCCATGGCTGCCCACGCAGGGGACTCCATAGAGATTCCGGAGTTTCCAGGACATGGACAGGGAAGCAGAGTACCGGCCCAGTGAGCATTCCATCTGTGTTAGCATAGGCACTGGGGGCTTCCCCATCCCACATCCCACGAAGGGACTTGCTGCCGGGCAGAGTCAGCCTCCCATCCTGCTTGTCCAGCAGGACACCAGTGACCAGGCCCCAGCAGCTCACCAGGGCAGTGACCACCCTTACCCAGAAAGCCCTGCCTGCTGGAACAAGGCGGATGGCAGGTGCCCTGTAAAGGGTGTGTGTGTGTGTGTGTGTGTGCACGTACTTCAAAAGAGGAGGCTTCAAAGGATCATGAAAGTGGAATTAAAAGTTTATTTTGGGGGCCAGTGCTGTGGCATAGTGGGTAAAGCCACTATCTGCATTGCCAGCATCCCGTATGGGCACTGGTTCGTGTCCCAGCTGTTCTATTCCCAGTCTGGTTCTCTGCTGTATGGCCTGGGAAAGCAGAGGAAGATGGTCCAAGTGCTTGGGCCCCTGCACCCACGTGGGAGACCTGGAAGAAGCTCCTGGCTCCTGGCTTCAGATTGGCGCAGCTCCAGCCATTGTGGCCATCTAGGGAGTGAACCAGCAGATGGAAGACTTTTCTCTCTCTCTCTCTCTCTGCCTCTCACTGTCTGTAACTCTACCTCTCAAATAAATCAATAAAATCTTTTTTAAAAAAGATTTATTTTATTTTTATTTGAAAATCAGAGTGACAGAAGAGAAAGGAAGAGACAGAGAAAGAGATCTTCCATCAGCCGGCTCACTCCCCAAATAGCCACAACAGCCAAGGTTGGGCAAGGCTGACGCCGGGAGCCAAGAACTCCATCCAGGGCCGGTGCTGTGGTGTAGTGGTAAAGCCACAGCCTGCAGTGCCAGCATGCCATATGGGCAGAGGATAAAAGATGGCACTCTCTCTCTTTCTTTCTTTAAGATTTATTTATTTTATTTGGAAGGCAGAGTTACAGAGAGGCAGAGGCAGAGAGGGAGAGAGAGGTCTTCCATCCGCTGGTTCACTTCCCAGATGGCCGCAACAGCCGGAGCTGAGCTGATCCAGAGCCAGGAGCCAGGAGCTTCTTCCAGGTCTCCCACACAGATACAGGGGCCCAGGGACTTGGGCCATCTTCTGCTGCTTTCCCAGGCCATAGCAGAGAGCTGGATAGGAAGTGAAGCAGCCAGGACTCGAATTGGCACCTATACAGTATGCCGGCACTGCAGGCAGCAGCTTTACCTGCTATGCCACAGCACTGCCCTGCACATGTGCCCTCTCTATCTCTCACTCTCTCCCTTTTAGTCACTCTGATTTCCAAATAATTAATAAATAAAAAATAGATACATAAATATTTTTTTAAAATAGGAATCCTTGCCTTGCTCCCCCTTTAGGAAGAAAGTATTTTGTCTCTCACTGTTCAGTTTGATAACAGCTGTGGGTTTTCACAGCTGCATTTTTCAGGCTGATGGGCTTTCTTTCTATTCCTAGCTTTTAAAGAGGTTTCTTAGGAAACCATGAATGGGTGCTGACTTTTGTCAGATGCCTTTAAAGCACCTGTTAAGATCATC